AGTTAGGAGGAGGGTCTTGTATGCTCACAGTGAGGACAAGAGTGGCCGCAAGGATGTTGGTAACAGGGAAGTGGGCTTACGTGTTGGGATACAGACGTCGTCAAAGCTAACAAACAACGCCAGAGGGATGTACTGACTGGCTGGACGTGGGTCAGGAGAGAGGGAGAGAGGAGTCAGGCTCCTCCACGGGCCGCTAAAACTGCGGAGGAAATGCCCCAGGGGGCAGGTGTGGGGACGATCAGACTTGTTTGGGGCATGTTTCAGTAGAGGAAACATGTAGCAGGAGGAGCGAGGGCCATATGCCCCCTTCGATTGGGTCAGGGCATAGCATTGCGGAGCCAAAGGGGGGAAAAAGGATGTTTCTTTGACTTCACATGTCACGTGATTAAGGACACATATAATTAACGAACTACCACTGTCTCTACCACTAGCCATGGGGTATGACTTCGGATAGGTTTGTCTCGTTTTCATAGACTCTCAAGTCCACATACGTGGCGTGAGAATTTGAATGTAAAATGTGATAATGTGCACACTTAAGGGAACCGGTAGGAAGCCTGGGGACACCGATGGTAAAGCCACAGGAGAAAGGACAGCATGTGGCAACGCATCCTCTGAATTGGGACCCTGTCTACCTTCACCTCGCTCCCTCGGCCGATGAGCTTTATTGAGGTTGTTACTAACACTCGGGAACAGGTGCAGTCTACTTCACTGGAGCTGGAGAAATAAAACCCCCAGTCATCTGCATTGTAGTTTTTATTTAAGGAAAGCTGCTTCTTTTCTTAAAGGGACAATCCTATTCCCCAATTCGTATTTCCATTCTCAAAGAGGAGGTTTGTATTCGTCTGTTTTCATAGCAGGTGAGCCTCACACATAGACTCTCGTCCCCAGCCACACACTTCCCACCCCCAGGCATCTTTTGCCCGCTTCCCCGATGCCACAGGATGTGGTCACCCACGTTTCCTTCCAGCCCCAAAATGCGGTAGTGCCTCCCTCCTGAAGTTTTCCCTGAGGATCACGTCCTCATTGGCTTTGACATTTTAAAGGCTTAAAATAACAACCACAAATCCCAGTTCGGGGCTTACCTTGTTGCAAGATCCTTTGCTAAAGATAAAACACCATTTCCCACCACCCTAAGAGGTTTGGGGCATCTTATTGCTCACATTTGGGATATGAGGCCGTGGAAACTTCAAGACGTCAGGATACTTGATGGTGATTCCAGCATATGAGGGATCTGGACTTCTATCTTCCCACTCTTCCCACATCACCTAGGGTAGGGCTCCGGGATGCACACCCCCATTTCCTCAGCTGTGGGATGATTTTAGTGACGGAGGCATAGCAGTAAGTGAATGTGATTCTCACAGTGATATGGTCTTTTTCTTCTCAATTATCTTTTCGATCCTTTAGGTTAAAAGTATAGAAAAAACATTTCGGTGGGGTGCTGGTACATCTAAAACACATCTTGTAACACCTTCTGATTTACCTGTGTTACCAACAAGTGAGCAAATGTGCCGTTCAGGTCTTTGACCAGAGGACCTAGACAGAGTTCAATGACGTATTTTGTTTTCATTGCATTTATTTTCGCATCTGCCTTCAATTTATGGCAGAGCCTACCGCCTTATGATTTTTGATTTGGTGGCTCGTTGACAATACATTTGTTTAAGGGAGAAGAAACCTGAGTTGATTTTGAAAGTTATTAAATAGGCGGCACAAAGATTGGACAAACAAGCGCAAGTTGTCCAAGGAGGACAGACACTCCCCAGAGCAGCCCCGCGCCCAGCAGCCTGAGTGGCAACAGTGACGCATCCTGCAGTGTCCTGCACTGATTTCTATTTCTCACCCCACTGGTCTCAGGAAAGGACGAGAGAGTCATGACAGTAGCAGGCAGCTTAGATTGCCCGGTCTCCAGCCAACACACACACGCGTGCGCGCGCACACACACACACACACACACACACACACACGGCTCCTGCAGAGCCAACTGCCTCCTTGTCTCAAGCTGAGATCACCAGGCAGTGGCACCAGTGATTGGAGCAGGCAAGCCCCTGCAGACCACAGGTGTGGAATTAGATCTCCCTCAACCTGAAAACCATCGGTGGTGCAGCCACAGCTCCCCTGAACCCACAAGCTGCCTTACATGTACAGCCGTTCTACTGCTAACGCAGAAGTTAGGTGCTCCCTCAACCCCTTTGTTTTTGGTCTATTTTAGTGGTTCTCAGCTGGGGACATTTTGCCACCTTGGGGACATTTACCAATGTCTGGGGACATTTTTAGTTGTCACAATGAGGGGATTCTATTGGCAGCCAATGGGTGGACACCAGAGACGCCGCTAAACATCCTACAACACAGAGGGCAGTTCCCACAACCAAGGGTGATCTGGCCATACGATATCGCTCATGTCAGGTGCGCCCCTGTAGAGAGGCCCTGTTGCATAAGCTCCTAACAGACCCTTCCCCAGATTTTTCTTAAAGATGGAGCCACCAGATACCATGTGGTTAAGCCTCTTGTTTACTTCGTGTGGTCTTTCTGTGCATTTTCTTACCATGGTGTCTGGCACGCTGTAGCCACGAGTGGGAGAGGGGTCGCACTCTGTTTGTTCACCTCACTTTCACAGACAAAAGAATGTCAACATTCTGCAATGTTTTGCTCCCAGTTTTGTGCCTGTTCTGCAAGGTGCTTCCGATTGGTGTCTCCCCAGTTTTTGGCTTCCTGATATTCTTTGTTACGACGTAACATCGACACTCACCCCTTTGCCCAACTATACTTTGCTTTATCTGCTGCTCCTCTGACCAGTGTGGCTCATCGTAGCATGATGTTAGTCTTGAACCTGTTCACGTCCATGGATCTTGTTTAGCCAAGCAAACTGTAAACTCCTCAAAGAAAAAGCCCACGTCTTTGCCTTTAGATACGTTGCTGCAGCTCTTATGATTTGCCTTCTGTTTGTCTAAGTACGCTGTTCTTTCAAATATGTAATGGTAACTGTGAAATGTAACATTGATTTAAGAGTGCCACAAATACACATGTCGAGTATGAGATACATCCTGCTTGTAACTGTGTCCAACAATTCTAAACACGAGGGGACACACACACACACACACACGTGTACAACATACATCTTGAAAGTGGGGAAATGTGGAACCATCTGGCATTCTAATCTTAAATTTCCTTATTAATACAATCCACCAGGAGATCATTTATTTTGGTTTTCTTTCTTTTTTTTTTTTTAAAAAAAAGATTTTATATATTCATGCATGAGAGACACAGAGAGAGAGGCAGAGACACAGGCAGAGGGAGAAGCAGGCTTCCTGCGGGGAACATGATGTGGGACTCGATCCCAGGATCCAGGATCAGGACCTGAGCCGAAGGTAGTCGCTCAACTACTGAGCGACCCAGATGCCCCTATTTCGGTTTTCATAATTGCAATCCCATTAGTATTTTTCCAATACAGTGTATTGATGTGAAATGTCATTGGCAAAGAGCGGAAACCATTTCCAAAGTTGGGCATCCTTGCCTGTGGTGGCTCCGCAGAATGAAGCCCTCATCTCGGGGCACTCATGCTCATCCCTGGGTCCTCAGGAGGGCTGCCCCTCCTGCCAGCCTGTCCCTGGGGTGTTGGGTCACTCGACTCCGTCCAACCTCAAAGCATTCTCTGTGCAGTTCTTCCGGGACTCTTCTTCCTGCCTTCTCTGCCAGAGCACTGCCCTCCCCACAGTGGCTCCGTGAAACCTCAATTTAAATAAAACTTCTTCAAGGAGTCCGGGGTCAAGTTCCTAATTACCTCTCCCTAGCACCACCTGCTATTTCACAGTCCCTTCTACAGTTATTTATTGAGTGCCAAATATAGGTCAAGCCCTGTTGTAGGCACTAGTCAAAGAACTGTGAATAAATCAGGAACAAATCTCATCTACATGGAGTTTACCTTGCCGTGGAATAAAGAACATTAAGATTTCCTTTGTGTACTCACGTCTCCTATCTAACACTTCCAAGACATTTAGGTGATGGTTACTATCACTCCATTTATTTTACAAATGGAAATGCAGGCGTGGAGAAGCTCAGTTACGCGTATCGGCTCACAAGCTGACAAGGGGCGACCCCAGCCCAGCAATCGGAGCCCACCTTTGCCTCTTATTTCACTCTGCCTTGATACATATTTATGTGCAGGAAGGAGTGAATTTCCCAATGCTTTCTGAGCTCCCAATTGTCTTCTAGATTCTTGACTAATTGCATAATCCATGGTTTGGAGTGACAGGCTTATCATTTAGACAAAGTAATTCTGGGGAAGTTCGCAACTATTAAGTGTATTTGTATGGCCACCATGTCCTTATGTGTGAATCCTTATCTTCACAAAGAACACAGGAGAGGCCCAACCTAAACTCAGTATTTTCCCTTCTCTGCCTTTCCATCTACTGTTTTCTGTTAGCAGCATAAGGCCATAAGAAAGAGTGTTGGGGCCTTTGGGACCACTTGGGATGCTGAAAAAGAGTCCAAGTAAAAGTTAGTGGGGAAAGCGAAAAGGAAAAAAAAAAGGGAATCCAGGTTGATTTTGGAAATGACAGAATCCCTAAATCCTTTGTCTCTGAGGAAAGCACAGAACCTGGGGGTCACAGAATCCTTCTTGCACCTCTGTGCCGGATGGCATAGCTCCCAAGGATCTGATTCATGGACAATAATGAGAACCCAGTTGCACAGGTGCCTCTTTGAAAGTGGGAAAGGCCAAATACTGGAATTATACTAAGAATCAAGAAACAGCTTTTTATTAACCTTTACTTCTTGAAAAAAAAAAAATCAGCACCGTGTTAGTCCAGAATGAATGGTTTCCTGGCCATATTAACAAAAGTTCATTGGAAATTTTGATTCTAGCTCACTCTGTTTAGCAAATGTGGACAAGAATCCTGATCTTGTGTGAAGTAAATGAGTGTGATTTCATGGAGTACACTAGGCCCTCAGTGCACGGAAGTTCTTGGAGCTGGATTTTCAGAAGCTTTTTGTTTTTGTTTTCACAGGATGTGTGAAACTGGGGAAGGGCTGTTTATCTTTCAAACACGAGATGGAGAGGCCATCTACCAGAAGGTCCACTCTGCTGCCTTGGCGATAGCTGAGCAGCACGAGCGCTTGCTCCAGAGCGTGAAAAATTCAATGGTACGTTTGGAATTTCTTCCTTATGACCCAGTGTATATACCCTTGTAGAATGCAATCTTAGAATCTTTACGCTGAAAAATATAGGCAGCATTATTAGAGCAGATGGCTTACTCTGGTACTCAACAGTGTATCACTTGGATTAAATGCCATGTTTGCAAAACCTCAAGAGCCAGCTGGTAGCACAGTAACTGTACGTCCCTGTTTATCTACTTTGTGTCTCAGTTATTACTTGTGTGTATGTATCTTCATCAGTTTTGGCTCCTACAGCAAATACCATAGGACTGGGTAGCTTATAAACGATAGGATTTTATTTTTTTTAAAGATTTTATTTATTTATTTGACACAGAGAATGAGTGAGCACAAGCAGGGGGCGCAGCAGAGGGAGAGGGAGAAGCAGACTCCCTGCTGAGCAGGGAGCCCAGGAATCATGCATGACCTGAGCCGAAGGCAGACGCTCAACCGACTGAGCCACCCAGGCTCCCCTAGAATTTTATTTATTTCTCACTGATCACCCAAGATGAAGTTGCTGGCCTACTCAGTGTCTGGTGGCACTGACTTCCTTGGTTCATAGATGACTCTTTTCTGTGTCTCCCTGATGGAAAGGGCGAGGGATCCCTCTGGGGTCCCTTTTATGAGGGCACTAATCCCAGTTGTGACGGTTCTGCCCTTATGGCCTAATCTTCTCCCAAAGGCCCTACCTCCTAACACCGTCACCTTGAGGGTGACGATTTAAACATACAAATCTGGGGAGGGGACATGATCATTAATCCACTGGAGTCAGTATGTTCGTCAGGATCGATTTGGATGCATATGGACATCTGTAGACACAACTATGTAGATTATCTACCTCTAGGAATGCATTTATAGCTGCACCAGACATTAGAATTTCAGATGGTAACAGGGGCCAGAGAAAAGAGAGCCAAGGGGAATGAAGTGAAATGTCAAAAGCCCAAGACCAGAAGACCATTGATCGTAGACTGGGCTCTATGTGGGACATAGATTTTTTTTTTCCAGAAAAGCCAAGGTTTGAGTCTGGATATAGTAGTTTGTAACTGTTGGAAATTAATTCTAGTTAAAACCAACAACAAAGTAGTTTGTGGACCAAGGGAAACCTGTCCAGGGACCCCCTCGTGCCGGAGCCATGCATCTTCCATCCCTGGTTGATCAACCTTCATGGACGTTAATGTATGAAGACAGCACAAACACAAATACACATGAGCATGCAGCTGTCTAGGAACACCTACTCTGTTCATTGCATTGATCTAGGGACTGTTATCCATACAGAGAGTTATGATTCATGGATTGCTTCTTTAAGAAGAATACATTCACAAAATCTTAAATTAACGCACCACAGTTAAATAATGCAAATCATGCATTGTGGCTGCGAACACATGCATAGAGCTTGTAACATCTGGAAGGAAATCTGCAAAACCAAAAGGAACTGGGTTGGCATGGTAAGTAAGATTAGGGTAGTTTGAAAATTTATGATTTAAACATGTGGGGTGGTTGGATTTAAAGAGGAGTAAATGCATACCAGTAATATGATCTGTCCCCAAGCGGCCTCAGGTTATTCCCAAATGACTTGTTCATGCAGTAGTCTGGGATTTTAGAGCAAAGATCAGCAAAACTTTCTTTAAAGGGCCAGCCAGTAAATGCTCTAGGTTTTATGGAGTAGGATGGTCTCTATTGCAACTACTTAACTCTGCCGTTGTCATGCAGAAGCAAGCATAGGTAAAAACAGTAACAGGGGGTGTGGCTCTTTTGCAAAGCAACTTTATTAAGGGACGCTGAGATTGAAATTTCATGTAATTGTCACACATCATGAAATGTTCTTCTCTTGAGTTTCTCCCCACAAATTTCAAAATAGTTTTCTTGCACTAATGCAGTCTTGGAATTCATTTCCCCATATGCTTACCAGTTTTGGATTTTGCAATAGAGAAATAAATGGATGGGGGCGCCTGGGTGGCTCCGTGGTTGAGCATCTGCCTTTGGCTCAGGTCTTGATTCCAGGGTCCAGGGATTAAATCCCACATCAGGTTCTCTGCAGGGAGCCTGCTTCTCCATCCGCTCATGTCTCTGCCTCTCTCTGTGTCTCTCATGAATAAATAGATAAAATCTTAAAATAAATAAATAAAATCTTTTAAAAATTAAATCTCTTTACACAAAAGAGAACTAAATGGATGGATGGTTGGGTGGGTGGGTGGATGGATGGTTAGACACACAGGTGACTGTACAGTAGAATTCAAGTCACTTGGAACTTTACAGAGCAACATGTCATTGTGTTAAAATTGTATAGTGTCCCATTAGATGCCTTTAAATATCTGAAGAGGTTTTTCCAAGAATACCTTACTGGTAAAGCCATCAATTAGCATAAATTGTTTTGTGCTTGAAAGGCAGGTTCTGCATGCACATGTTTTTCCATTTACAACCTTCTCATTACTTCCACTAAAAATTAATCAGGAATATGAGTAATTCGTTTAGATCATCCCTTTGCAAATTTAACTAGAAAATAATGTTGTTTGCTCTTAATTTGCTGTGTGCTTTACGAGTTCCATAAAGTGAATATGATTTTTAAAGCAACAAACATCCTGTTTTAGATGGATGGTGAGTAAGCTTCAGAATGGGATCTGAATGAATCTCGAGGAAGTTAAGTGGGGATTACGAAATGCTTAAAATTGATGTACGTGAATCAGTCCCTGCTTTGGGGAGAAAAGAGATGCCACATGACAATGAAGCAAATGAAGAGAACACTGCTGGCCTCCCCCTCCCAGAGTTACAGTTCTGCACATTCTGGTAACTGGAATGGATCCATGTAGACCCGGCTATATTCTTAACTAGGAATTGTGTGGATGTCACTACTGGCGCACTTCTCTCAGATAGTCAAGGTCATAAATGGAGAAGGATGGTGAGATGTTAACTTCTGGGCTCAGCCTCATTTTAAGGAAGCCCTGGCCCTCTGTTGGCTGCCTTGTTGTAAAACTCCCAAGACCACCTCTACAGACAGGTGCTCCCCCGCGGGACCTGTGCCGGTTTGAAGTTGTAGCCTTAAGTGCCTTGGTTGGGATCAGACTTGAGACCTGAATCCCAGCAGCCGTAAAGAGGAGCCTTGTGGGTCCCCCTAACAACAACAACAACAACAACAATAATAATAGCGATAGGCTGAATCATAGCTTCAAAGATGTCCCGTCCTAATCCCTGGAACCTTACTTGGCAAAAGGGACTTTGCAGATATGATCAAGTGAAGGCTCTTGAAATGGGGAGATTATCCTGGATCATCCAGGTGAGCCAGTGTTATCACAGGGGGCCTTATGAGACAGAAACAGGAGGAGTAAGGGTCAGCAATGATGTGACGGCAGAAGCAGAGGGATGCAGAGAGAGATTTGAAGTTTGTATGCTGATGGCTTTGAGAGTGGAAGTGGGATGTGACCCAAAGGATGTGGGTGCCCCTAAATGCAACATTCTCCCCTGGAACCTCCAAAAGGACCCCGCCTGGCCAACACCTTGGATTTAGCTTGGTGACTGACTTTGGGCATCTGGCCCCCAAAGCTGTAAGGGGATAAATTTATGTTGTCTTAAGCCACCAAATCATGGGAATTTGTTACAGCAGCCACAGGAAACTAGTACAATAATGATATCCATAGTAATAAAATGTATCGTGTCTCCGTTCTCTAACAAGCAGTATTTTAAGGACTTTCTAACCCTGCAGCCACTGCCGTGTTGAAGGCCCAAGGCCACCAGCTTGGATAGTCATGGGGCTCACGTTTGGAGCAGGCGTCCTGGGATAGCGCCCACTTTTCTGCATATCTCTCAAGACCTGTTTTCCTTGTCCTACATGAGATTGGCTTACTGCTCTTCTAAAAATACCAAATTTGTGGCCAACGTTTAAAAATTGAGAAGTTTCATCTAAAACTCTGATTTCTGTGTTACCCTGAGAAGTGGAAAGGTCTGACAGCACTGATCTCATGTCCCCACGTGGCAATGACAATCAGATATGCCCAATACTACCCACCCTCTTTGGGCAGATTGGGGGTGGTCACTCCCCCACGGTCCCTACCTCCCCTCTGTGGGTACTGTCGGCAAGTGGCCCTCCTCTGCGCGTTGGCTACCCATGCTGTGGACAGTGCTGGCTGGCCTGTATTACTCCGTGTATTTATTTTCTGTTGCCACATAACGAAATACCACTGACTACACACCATAAAACAACACACATTTACTATCTCATGGTTGCTGTGGGTCAGGAGTGTTGGCATGACTTAGGTTTCTCCGAAGGCTGAGATGCTTCAGGCAGGTTTCAAGGTGACAGTGGGGAAGGATCCACTCACGAGGTCACACGGTTGTTGGTGGGGTTTAGCTTCTTGTCACAGTAGGATTTCAGGCCTCAGGTTGTTGCTGCCTGTAGCATGGAGCCCACCCTCAGCTCCTTCCTGCATGGGCTTCCCCATCAAAGCACTGACTCAAAGCCAACAGGAGGCCACAATCCTGTGTATCACACCACGCAAGTGACTTCCTATCACCCTGTCTGCTGATTAAAAGCAAGTTGTAAGTCACACTTCCTTCGCAGAGTCAGGGAAGGCGCCCGCACAGGGTGTGAAACCCTGGAGGAGTAGACCGTGGAGTCCACCATCATGGTGTCTGTCCCCACCCCACACACACTTCTGGAATAATATTTATTTAGTGCTTTGATTTTACTTTTTAAAATATTTCCTACTTTGGGGTGTTTTGCTGATAATACCGTGCATTTACTAGATAGCATCTGCTATCTGCCTTGAGTCGCTTCCATCCTAGCAGCCAGAACCACTTACCAAGCCTCCTAGGATATGCCAAGCACTTCACTTGCTGGTTCTCTCATCACTGCCATAACCAGAAGGTGGACTCATTCATTCATTCCTATCCATTTGTTCATTCAAGAATGGTCGTTGAGGACCTGACATGCTCTGCTCTGTGCTCCAGGATACAGTGGTGAGTAGGAAGCTCCTGGCCCCTGTTGGGCTCACAATTCA